CCCCAGTGCTGTGCTTCACATTTTAAATGTTTGGCATCTCTCAAAAAAAGAAGAAAAGGCAGCAACATCAGCCAAGTTTGATAAATGGAACTAATTTAAAGTACTCAACAGGAAAAAGCTCTCAGCATGAGGTAAAATATTAAGTGAAATAAAAATATATATATATATAAATAAAAGGAATAGGTTTTTTGGGCTTAATGTAGAACAAAGGACTGTGTTAAAGTGCAGAACAGAGAGAATGGTTTGTAAAAATAGTAAAAAAAAATAAATAAAAAGTTTTAGATTTTTCTTATACCCTGCCAGCTCATCTTGTATCTTCAGATATTTGCCCCTGCATATGTGAAGCATTAATCCTAAGCAACATATTCCATTAAGGACAAACAGTTCCAGCAAACACACCCCCCAAAAAATAAAATAAAATAAATACTCCCTGACTTCCTGACACTTCACTTGCATAGACACAGCAGGGTGATGAAAGGGGCTGCTTAATAAAAGCTAAACAAGAAGAGGGGTTGGGATTAGTTGCAAGCAGAGGAAACTGATGTTAGTGAGAAGTTTGACGACTGAATGGGGCGAGTGGAGGATCAAAGAAAATTGAAGGGATGAGAAGAGTTTGAGTTCACTTTGGATAAGAAGGATTCAGAGAGAAAAGGGGGGAAAAAGTAAATTTTGTCTAGAAACGATGGAGGAGTCGCTCCTAAGTAAGCAGACAAGTAGGTAAGAGCAGGACTGGAGCTTAAAAGTGAGATGAGAAAAAGAGAGTTGGAGGGCAGCGGAGAGTCGGCGTGCGCAGCTCATTGAAATGCAGGGGACATGCTGGCTGCAGCTGCACCTATCAAATCACCACTTCCAGCTCTGACAGGCACGACCATTCCTGCCCATCTAGGGGCCTCCACCCCCCACATGCAAACACCCTCGCACATCACAGTCTCCCACGTGCACGTCTAGAGCAGCACAGCAGGCAGGTTCTGCAGTGCTGCATGCTCTTTGGTGCCGGGATCCTCACTCATCCGCTCCATTTCCTCTCTATCCTCTCACTGACTCAGTAACATCAGACGTCCTTTTTTTTTTTTTTTCTTTATTTTTTGCAGAACACCTACGTCTTTTGTTGCCAGTTATGCTATTTTTTTCTCCTGCACTCTATTAGTTTGTCATTGTCTGACGGTGGTGCCACATAAATTCCCTCAGAAAGATAGACTTGAGTGCCTATCAAAACCCAGATCTGTCGTTCTCTGTTCTTTGACTTTTCCATTCTCCCTCCAATGATATGCAGGCAGAAAAAATACATATAAACCACTGCTGCAACATTCACACTTTCTCTAAACTTTATTTTTTCTTTCACCTAGTTGGCACATGAGTTTGAGTTCAGTTCTCAAGGAACTTCCAGGTGGTTCATTTATTTACGATTCATTTAAATGGATCCAGGTTTACTTGTAACGTTAGATATTATTTGATTTGATCATCTATTACAATGAAGTATTAGGCCACACAACTTGATAATATCATTTTATTAGAATAAAGTCACATTATTGCGACATTAAAGTCATATTGTTATGAGAAAAAAGTCATAATAATGTATTATGTAAATAAAGTTGTATTATTAAGAGGAACTTTTACATAAAAAAGCAGTCTTACCACAATGTTGAGCAACTTGTGAAATTCTTCTTTAGTATCAGTTAAAATAATTGTTCTTTTAGCACATAGCATCAAACGATGAGTAGCAGGACTTTGAAACATTTGTGCAAATGACTATATGATAAACTGAAGCTGTATTGTAATTAATGGCTGCACTAACATATTTAGTCATCCCCTAATTTGAATGAAAGCATGTGTTACATTACCAGTGACCAAAAACTCATTGCGTACTACAATGATGCACATTCCTGCCCACAGCTGGTTTGAGGATAATGATGAGGAATTGAATAAGAAATCAAGTACGGAAAATGGAAATGTCATGTAAGACTGACATTTTTCTTGTAACATTATGAATGCATTCTCATAATATTACAACTTTAATCACATAGTATTAGTTTTCCTCACAATATTACAACTTTAATATTGTATTAAGACTTTAATCACATATTATTAGTATTTTTCTCCTAATATTATGACTTTAGTCTTGTAATATTAAGACTTTCATCTCATTATATTAGTATTAGTTCTTGTAATTTTACGACTTTTTTTGTAATAAAAAACATATTGCTTTAATACTCGTCGTAATTTTTTGTCTGCTGAAACCACGTCATGTTTAAGTATTGCACATACATGCAAAGTAATAATATCAGTACAAGTGTCTTCTATTTTAAATAACCCTGAGTGCTGATTTTTTAAAAAATCCTCATGTTTATTCCCTCAAAAGTTTCAGGTTAAAGCCTTCCTAATGAGTCCGTCACTTCAGTTTTCCCAGCTAGTCACCACCATGGCTTTCTACATCACTTATTTGCCTTTTATTATTACCTTGCTTTGTGTCCTCTTTAGACTCTTCTCCTTCTGTCCCACTTTCCACATCTTAATTGCAATTCTTGACTTCCGAGAGTTGTTAGGTTATCATCTAGGCTACTGCTTTTGCTGTCTCCCATCCACTTCAATCAGCTCACGATTACACCCCAGCTCAGGCTTATTAAATATAATAAGCAAAAAGCATCAGAACACAACCAAAATACTCCATTTGTGCAAGAGCAAATTTATTTGCACAAATTTGCCTCCATGAATACAGATCTGTGTGCATGTCACCCCTTTTCTCACAGTCTACCCCATTTATTTATTTATTTATTTATTTATTTATTTATTTATTTATTTATTTATGCATTGTGAAGTTGTTTGATTTTCTGCATTTATACTTTTCAGAGTATGAGTTTCTTTCTTGTCTCGTTAAAGTGCGTTTTTTTATTTTATTTTATTTTTTTATTTGATCTCTGGCAAAGTTGTTCTACGGAGCCCGCGAGGCGACAAGGAGGGATTTTTTTTTTGCGTTCCCATGCAAAAGTATTGCGCTCCCTCGCAAAAGTCGTTTAACACTGTTATGCCTGCCGGTTTATTAACAAATTCACCTGCTCACCATTAGCAAGTTTGCGTACTGCTTTAATTCAGCTTCAGAATGAATATATCACACAGCCACGCATGGAAGTATGTCATATGCCGATATTTTAACACAGTACAGCCACGCAACATCAATGTCGGTTTCACAAACTTGTGGCGACACATCCTGTTTTGGTAACTGGATATTTCAAAATAAAAGTCTGATTTAATTCAGTTCATATACAAAACAATTTTTTTGCGTGGAAATGCAAAATAATACTGCGAGGTAACGCAAAAGTATTGTGAGGGAACACAAAGGTATTGCCTGGGAGTGCAAAAGAAAAAAATCCCCCCATGTCCCTTCGCAGGCACCGTATTGTTCTCACCTTGCACACTGAAACTTTATTTTCTTAATGTGATTTTATTTATAGCCAAACTAATGATAGATTTCAGAGTTGGTTAGTGTTAAACGCCCCCCCCCCCC